AAAAAAAATCGCTAGGGGGTCTGAAAACTCGCTAAATATAGCGACAAAGTCGCTAAGTTGGCAACACTGTTTACGAGATCTCGCAAAAGTTTAAGCCGCATTCTTCGGAGGCCGCCAGCTCGAAGCCGACCGGGAGGTCGAGGCACAATGTGCCGGGAAAGCGGTGTTCCTCCCGGCTGTAGTAGGTCTCGACCTCCCGTTAGCTTCGAGCTAGTGGGTGTCAGAGTTTGTTTTGCGAGATCCCGAGTTTGTTTTGCGAGATCTCGCAAAAGTCCGTCTTAATTTTTTTTCTCCCATGTCCCCTGCGGGGCTCCGTAGTGTCGTTATTATCATCACATCAACACTTAAAGCCCAGTAGCTTGATGGTTGTACTCCAAACACTGTTTCCACTGCACTTCTGGATTCAGCTTCCATCCTAGCAGTGCTTCTAAGCAGTTGGCACCCTTGCCAGGAAGCCAATAATGTGATGGCAGGTGCTGGTATCAGTGTATAAACAACAAGCCCTCTCCCTGTCCCTCTGATGTCACTGATACTTGTCTCCCCGTTTGCAAAGTACTTGCCAGAAGGATGTGCACTCACCGAGAGAGCTGTCTGCCTCCCTCGGGCTGCTTTGGCTAAAAATTAAGTGAACTTTAAAATGTTTCTGATCACAAATCAATTTTTTTCTGTCTTTTTTTTGTAGCGGATGATAAATGAGGTATCGGCACTGGTAGAAGGTGAAAAAGAAGAAAGAGAAACGGAGGGCAGATGAGTCTGTCATCTGTCGTATAATCCCAGGAAGTACCATAACTCTGCGGTTAGGTAATTTATTCAGTGCAGCTTCCTGAGATACCTCAAGGAATAGTGAGCTGTCAGAGAAAAGCCTTGGAGTAAGACAGTGACATAACTTCAGATAGAAACGCAGCATCGCATCAATCAATAATGCAGCGTCATCCTCCTGTTTCACATGCTAGCAGGGAATGATCTGGACTCAAGCTAAGTTCACCTGAATTATCCCATTCAAATGCATTCAGCAGTAATGCGTCTGATGAGCTTTTTCAGCGTAGTTCTGTGCAGCCGTACAAAAGCAACCTCTTCCCTCGGGCGTGCTTAGAGTAGCCTGGATTAATTTTACATCAGGCTGCCAAGAAGACATCCTCACGTAAGACTGGTAAACAACGAGAATTTGTTTTCATCTCGACAGATGGAGGACGGCAGCAACAGAAGAGCACGGCTGCACCTCAGGGGTTGAGATCTTAGACCTCATTAAAAATAATTTTGAACGGAATAAATTTGATCCAATTTGAAAGATGAAAGGGAGCATCCACCCTTAGTTACGAGCCACTACCAGCAGAGTGAGTCGTTCTCGTGATCTTGCTCAGGTTTTTGATCTACGAGTACGAGACTCAATCGAACTATTGACAAAATAATCTAAATCCTCAATATTCCCAGGGAAAGTCCCTTAACCGGGAGAAAAGACATCAAAAGGAATTTCACAGATAAAACTGATGCAGGTAAAGTTTATATGACTGTGAAGCTTTTGCAGGGATATTCAAATGTTTCATTGTCAGCGCATGAAAATCCACTAACGTGGTGCGTTCGCTGACCTCAGTGTGCGTCAGTCATATAAACGCTCCTCGGCTGATTTTGGCAGATGTTGGAGTTCAAAACTCTCATAGTCTTATTGTAAGTGCAGCACATCTGGGCTTCTGATCTATGTGCTCACAAAATACGTTACAAGATAAGATGAATCTGAGTCAGTTTTATTCAGAGGCTGGTTAGTCGTTGAACCCTGTCTCTATGAGAGGAGACATTTCACATGAGCAATGCATTATAAAAGTCATAGTTTAATGTTGCAGTCAGTTAAACATAAAGTTATGTTGGTTTAAAGTTGCCGTTTCTGCCTGACCTTGCCGTTAGAGATTTCACGTGTTCTGACAAATCTGTTCTTCACGTTCTCTTTTCTGAAAGTCACGAGGCGCGAGTTTAAATGCTTCTTTCAAGGATGGATGAAAATGTGACAGTAATGCAGAGTCCTTGGTGTTTGTAGGATAATGAACAAATGCAACATAATAAGATGTGCCTTTAGAAATGTGGTGATCTTGGACATGCAAAAAGGCTTTTTCACTCTTTCAATCAAAATGTGACAAATCCGTTCCCAGCACTATATGTTCATGTGAAAAAGAGTCTACTGTAAAAATCTAATTACAGGACAGGGATTAAAGAGTAAGGAGCGCCCAGACACTGCTAATCAAACGCACTCGATTAATGGATCATCATCCGTCTGAGCACCTCGATAAAACAAAGGTTTTTGCAGTTTGCAGGATTGTTGTGTGTTAATGCAATGTCACAATCTTCTCAGAAGTGGAAATCCCAGTAAATTCACCCCAAGATCAGACCATGGAAAACCCAAGAGCTCCATCTCAGACTCTGCAGGCCTCAGTTTGCAGGTTAAAGGTTAAAATTCACAACAGCACAATTAGAAAATGACTAAACAAGTATGGAAGGACTGCCAAAGTGCAGAAACCAAACACCGTCAGCACGGTGGTGCAGGCATGATCGTTTGGGCAGTCACTGAGTGGACATAAGCTGCTGTCACAGGTGAGGCCATCTGTCCCACAGCTCAAGCTTGGACCAAACTGGGTCATCAGCAGGACAATGATCCCAAACACAGCAGCAAATCTCAAACAGGGCGAATAAGAAAGAACCAAGTTGCTGCAATGGTCCAGTCAAGGTCGAGCCCTCAACCTGCAACCTTGCAACCTTTAGAGCGCTGTGCATAAATGAATCCTCAACAAACTGAGCCAACGTTGTAAAGAGGAGTGGGCCAACATTAACACACAACAGCATTAGAGACTGAAAGTCATACAAGGACTCATTCCTTCAAGTTATTGCAGGTTGTTCTACAAGCTGTTCAATCAGAGTGTGTACTTAGTGTAGAGTCCTGTGAAACGGTCTTTTTCCCATAACAATACCTCCAAAAAACCATCAAACAAACTAATATTACACAAGGGAAGTCTGTGCTTCAGCACTCCTTCAGTCTTCAAGTCAGGTGTCCTCGGGCAAGATACTGAATCCCAAAATTTCCCCTGATGAATCATTTGGTGTGTGAATGTGATGCAGAGAGGTCTGAGTGGGCAGCAAGGTAAAAATGTCTGGATTATATCTACCTGGTGTAGACAGCAGCTTCTGAATAGTGCCAGGAAGTACCACAGAGATCATTTGTACAGTGCAGCTGACAAAATGCTCTGTGCTTATACAACTGTTTAATTGCTCTGCAGGTTCTTAGTCTTAATTTCAAGGTGCAACGTTTTGAGAGGTCAGTAACACTAAATACAGTCTGCTTACCATTTTCCAAACATTCAGTCAGTGCAACAGGCAGCTTCCAACATCTGCTGGTGCTCTGCTCACACTGAAGATTTAGTTCTGTGGACTGAGGCATTAATGACGGTTAAGGGTCCAGCTGTCCTTTATTTATATCAAGGTATCAGAATTAAGTTTATGGAAATGTTTTGGGAATTTATAGAGTTGTTAATACGCTGATATGAGACTGTCCCGTTCCCTCACTTTCTCCCGTTCCACAGCAGCTCATAAAAACTCTCCTTCGTTTTATGGGGTTAGAGCGGGAGTGAAAGTGCATGGGCTTTATGAGGCGTATCAATGGCTGGCGAGAGGACTGAGATATGCTTATTTGTTTGTTTCCTATTTCACAAGACAGGCTGCAGATAAGTTTGAAATATGACATCACACTGCACTGTTCAGCTGCTCATTGAAAGCCGGGAGGATTGGAGGACAGTCACAATTATCAATATATTATGAAAAGGAGCAAACTCATAATTCACAGGCTCAAAAATATATTTTGATAAGCATTCATTTTTTTGCACACGTGGAAATGAGGACCAGGCCAGAAAATGTTATTTGTAAAAAAGCGTTCCACTAAAGTTGAGTCTTAACCGACATTGTCCCGACATGTTTGAAGGAAGGAGCCGGTAATTAGAACATGCAGCGCTGAGGCATGAAAGCAAACCGTTCCTCTGATTAAGTTAAACACATTGAGCGCGGAGACGTTTGACCTCGGCGACCGATCGCACAGAATTGGTTTTTAATCTTTGACTACAATGCCCAACAGCAGCAGAGAGGGAGGGTGCATCTGGAGATCACCTTCCAAGGTCTCCTTCCCGGCCGCACGCCTCACGGCGCACTCCTCGGGGCTTTGACGGATGACACCAGCGCCGGCGAGTGATAGGCTATTATTTCACTTTGCTTTGGATAAATGGCGATGCGGGATCCTACCTGTCGCCTGCCCTTCTCTTTCTTTTGTCTCGTCCTCTTGTCCCGTCTTTACAGCGGTATGCCACCGCAGACGGGAATAGAAGGTGAAAACTAAGAGTGCTGAGATTTCGTCAGAGCAATTTGTGGATTTCACCTCCACATTTCAGCTCTGCTGCTTTTTTCCTCCCTGTAGCCAAACTGGGTTTGAGAGTGAGAATAAGCTGGATAACGACCAACTTGTGTGTTATTTGGCTTTTTTCTCCCCATCATTAAGTGTGAAATGCGTTTCTTTTTTGGGAAGCTGCTTTTTTCACCCTCATTCTGATGAAATTGTCTCTGCTTGTTGCTTTCAGACCAACAGTATTCATGGTCCCCCTCGCAGTACTTCGATGAGGACAGCTACTCCCCTCCACCCAGGAACATGAAGGGTCTCTCCGGCGGCCGCCCTGCCCACCTCCAGCTCACCTCCCCCACCTCTGCCCACACCTGCGGCCTGGCTGATTGTGACCATTCCCTGGACCACCTGCACCACCATGTTGACTCACGGCCTCCTTCCTATCTCCTCAGCCCCACTGAGAGCTGCCCCCTCGACGGTCATCACCGCTGCTCCCCACGGAGCTCCATCCACTCCGAGTGCATGGTGATCCCGATGTCCATGTCGGCCACTGACCACTCTATCTCCAGTAGCACTTTCCCGCGCATGCACTACGGCAGCGCTTCGCGGGACAGCGGCGGGAACGCCTCGGGCGGCAGGGAATCTCGAGACAACGGCGGCTCGTCCTCGCACGGCGGCAGCGGCAAAATGAACCGAATCCCAGCAAACCTCCTGGACCAATTTGAAAAACAGATGCCGCTGCACCGGGACGGCTTCCACACGCTGCAGTACCAGCGCACCTCCACCACGACCACGACTACAGAGCAGCGCAACGAAAGCCCCGGGCGAATACGCCACTTAGTCCACTCAGTACAGAAGCTTTTCACAAAGTCACACTCCCTGGAGGGCTCCTCCAAGATGAACGGCACCAAAGGTGACTCGCACAGGGAAAGCTCGCACCACCACCATCACCACCACCAAGGCCACCACAAACACAGCAAACGCAGCAAGAGCAAAGAGCGCAAGTCCGACAGCAGCAAGCAGCGCTCGGGAGGCTGGTGGAGTTCAGATGACAACCTCGACAGCGACAGCACTTACAGAACGCCGAGCGTCATGTCGCGGCATCCGGTCGACCACATCAGCCACTGTTACCCCGAGTCTGTGCACGGCCACATGGTGGGAGATCTGTCGCTAAAGACCTCCAAAAGCAACAACGACGTGAAGTGCTCAGCCTGCGAAAGCATAGCCATGGCGCCAGAGGGCAAGTTCATGAAGAGAAGCTCCTGGTCAACGCTGACAGTTAGCCAGGCCAAGGAGGCCTACAGGAAGTCCTCACTCAACCTGGAAAAGCCAATGATGCCCACGGATCTCAAGCCCAACCTCAGGCCCTGCCACTATCTACAGGTGAGTTTGGCTTTGGTCAAGTTTAAGAACAGGAACTAGTCAGCAGATGCAAAAACGAGTTATTTTTCAGAACTCCTGACATCATCGCATTATTCTGCATCTTCAGTGAGCGCAGTAGTATAGTTGTAGTTACACCGGTGCACTGAGCTGCACTGCACCATTATGAGACCCCAACATCCCGGTTGGGATCATCAGATTTCGACCAAACAAAATCAAACCTGCATGCCACCAAACAGAGTTTATTTTTAAATGAAATGCTCTGATTTGTGTGGAGATGCAACAGAAGGAGCGATGATAGTGTTCATTTTCTGTCACTGAGTGTTTTGAGTGTCGTTTTATAGAGTTTTCAAGAACTTTGGGCATTGTAGAAAAGACGAGCAAGCCTTCGCTCACAGGAGAAGAAAAGCCGCTCGTCTCAGTTGGCGTTAAAAGCTGATCTGAAAGACGGTGTTTTGTTTGTCACTGCCCTGGATATTACATTGTGAACCTGTCCTATGGCTCAGCATGTGGCTGGCAATAGAAAGGACTAGCACAGCAGGACAAATCAATTAAGTCTGTAAATGATCTGTGCTGGAGGGGAAGAGCTGGCAGTATGAGAATAAAAGGCCAGAAATCAATCTGGATTTTTTTTACTGCGTTGTTTTCTCTGATTTCACAGAGGATTCAGTCTGGAAAAGTTTAGCATTTAGCTCAGACCCGTGATCGGCTCTGCAGGAGACCTTATAGCACAGAAGGGATCAATTCAGTGAGTCAGCACTTTTCACAAAAGGTTCTCGTGGGTTTTATAAGCATGCTGCAGGGTTTATGGAATAAGAAAGTATACTTTCAATCCCAAATTGCAAATTCAAGCCAGAAAAACGACATTATGTAACCGTGCTGCTGCAAATATAACAATGTGAAATGTGATAGCATCATGTAAGTACTGCCTGTAGCCAAAATGAAGCCATCGTTCAGCGCAAAGGGAAAGAGGAGACTTGGAGAGCGTGTTGTAAATGAAAAGCCGACACGTCACTGAAATCGGCTTCAGCTGGTATCATCATGCACAGACGGTGCATCATCCACTCCAGTTTTTTTGCATATCCAATAAGGAAAGTAATCTCTTAGAGAGAGAGTTGCAGTGCTGGCACCCCCACCTGTTCCCATCTTCTGTTTGGTCATTCAGCTGAGGTAGTGTCCGAGTCACAGCACTATAAACACTTCTAAAAATATCCTGCCGCAGGGCTATATTTAGACCGGCGTTATCAATCCGATCCGTACAGGGCGTGACACATCTTCCCTCCCCGGAGGAGAATCAATGCGCTCTCAGGGAAGGCTCGGAGACGACGTATTGAAGGAGAGAGAAAGTTGGAGGTTTATGGCTCTGTGGATGTGCTGAGATACTTTAGGAAACAGAAGAGAGGAAACAAAGCAATGCTCCCCGTGGCTGCTGCTGTTGCTCATCAACAGGAGCAGTCAGGCAGAGAGATGGAGCCAATAGTCAGGAATGATACTCTACACACACTGAGGGGTCACATTGAGAAGTACTCAGGTCCTGCTGCTGCTGAATTGGGATTACCCACAACTGTCTGCAGCAGCAGCATAAAGCCTATCCAGGGAGAGTGCGTGTGCCGAACGCCTGTCAGTGTGTGAGTGGCAGTGTTCGTGAAAAAGTGTGTTTTTTTCTGTTTATCACACAGCAGATGGTTTGATGAGGTGCTAGTCACCTTGTTGCCGTCCTTGGTGATGACGGAGAGAGAAACTTTGAAAGTTTAGTAGAACTATAGACAGACTTTTATCATAGACTTATTAAAGTAATCTAAATTTGCAACTTTGTAACAAATCAATCCCATAAATCCTGCTGCAGGTAATAAAGTTAAATTCAGCCAAACTGTCTGCATGTTGTGCACGTGGCAGGTCTGTGTGAGTCTTTGTGCGTGGAAGCAGGATGAACTGGACATTAGGGAAGACCGACGGGTTCATATATAGAAGCTGTTTCTCTAAAATGATAAGTGGTGGGGAATCAGACCTGGCATTAGCATCTCTTCCTGTCATCGCTCAAATTAGCCCTAATTAGCCCGTGCTGAGATCTGTACACACTAATAGCCACTGAGCCATCCACTGTAATGCGCGCGTAGGTGTGTGGGCCAGCCTTTGTCCGTCGTTGCAGTGTGCAGCAGACGCTGTTATCCATGTTCAAAATGTATCAGCATCTTATGGCAATGCAAAACACTTTTAATTAATTTTGCACCACTTTGTTGGTTTTGTTATTGTTTTCCATGAATGGTCGGATGCTGCATCGCTGTGAATTATGGCCAGGAATTATCTCCTTCCTTTCACGAAGGATGTATCCTCCACTAAAGGAGGTCATAAAGGAAGAACCGAAGAAACTTTCCTAACGATTTAGAGAATTCAAACAGCTCTTAATATGTCAGCTACACAGATACTTCCAGATCACTTTGGTTTGGAGCCTTTCTAAGTAAAACCGTCTATTAAACTGCACCCAATAACTCTGCGTTACTGACAACTCTCAGCCCAGATTAAGTGAGCTTTTCTAGCAAATACAGTTCCCTCCTCTTCCTTCGTACAGTAGCGTTGTACAAAGGAAGGATTAGTCTTTGATAGTTTTGCTGATAGGGCGTTGCGGTGGGATTTAATAAGCCAATTAACTGCCATGTTGGCTTGCCAAAGGTGGGGCTTGAGAGGCAGAAAGGCTGCTGATTAAAATACAAAAGCAAAGTGCAAAGCAGCAGAAACAAAACTGGCACTGTGATGGAAAGCTGTAGTAACGCACACCCACACACACTCGGGGGTTTCCTAGCATTTTTATGAAGGAGTTCCCAGATAGCAATCGGGCCACGAACCCTTATGTAGAGGGATCTCGTCCCAGGAACCCGAAGATCAGACGACTGTCTGTCTCTGTTTGCCGGAGGCGACGATGTGGATCATCACTGTGACAGCGTGCATCTTATTGCAGTCGTGTTATTATGTCAAACCTCAAGTTTCTTTTGATTTTAATGTGATTGTTTCAGGGTATAAACATTAAATAGTCACTTGTTAAGCTGCAATCTGCAAAATGCCTTTTTCTGATCCAGTAGCCAGGCTAAATCAATAATAATAGCAGCTATGATGCCATCTAATTCTTGGGAGGTTTAGTAGCCATATTTTCTGCCTTACAGCCGTTTCCTGCCAAGACGTCTTCACTGTTTAAGTGTATTATTACCATGTGGTGCAAAATACCCCGGCACGCCATATGCAGTGTCTAACCGTCTGTTCGGAGAGGTTTCATCGCAAGCAAGAATTCTCTGATAAACCAGATGTGCAGTAATAAAAAAGTAATTTTGTTCATTTTACATGAACACATGAGTACGTTCAGCATTCAGCACAGGTGTTACCACAGGAGACAAACGTGGAAGCAAAATCAGAGACTGCAGAGCTCTGATGAATAAGAAGGAGGGAAGAATATGTATTTGTAATGCTGGGGTAGGTGAAGATGTCGTGTAGTGACTTTGGGGATGAAAAGCGTGGGTAGGTTTCCTCCTCACAGCAGGAGAGAACCTCATGCGTCTCTTTCATCTGTCATCAAAATACTCAAAAGGAAAATATGTCCTTGTGTGTATTTTCTGTTAGACGTTCTTCCTTTTGTTGCTCTGAAAGGTTGTTTGTTTGTTTGTTTGTTTGTTTGTTTGAGACGCCTCTTAGCAACAGAACAAGGGTGAAGAGTTGAAAAAGTCTTGGTTGAATGTCTTTCTTCTGTTTTTAGTGCAGAAATGTTGGGCAGTCTCATTCACATCGAGTTATCATCACAAACATGCTG